AAATTATACCAAAGATTTTGTTTGTGTACAAAAACTACGTGTCAGTAACGTTATGACTTGTTTAGGACTCAAAAATGTAGAACCTGGACTTGGTCCCACCTACTAATGAGTGACCAACCCGTGCACACACTCCACTATAGACGAGGACCTGCAGAGGTAATGCAGGCTGACTTTCATTGATCTCTCTGTTGTGACTATTTCACGCTGCGCCACATAAGGATCACTTCCTGTTTGACAAGCCTGTGTCTCCGTTACTCACCTCGGCCTTCATGGCCCGAGACTGGCCCGACTCCAGGGGGATCTGGTAAGGCCAACGCAGTTCAGTGAGATCCCGTCACAATGCTGTTATTGTGCAAGTGATGAAAGACCAACATAATCAGTCAGTGTAGTTCACAGCTAATGGATTTTAGTTTCGAAATTAGAAAACAAAAATCAACTACAGTTTATGAACAGGGGAACAAAAAACAGTAGGAGTCATTTTCCCTTTTTATTTACAAAACAAAAAAAAAGAAAACAGGTTGTTTTCTCATTTCTTGTTCCCGAATTTATAAATGGTAGTTGGAAAAAAACTAAAATCCGTTGGCCGCAAAGTACACTGACCACATTCCCCTCTCCTAGTCTAGAGTCCCGGTCTGTGAAGTCCTCCATAACCTCTCTCCTCTCCACTAAAGGAATATGCAGTAGTTTCTTCCTTACATTAGTAAAGCTTCTACTCCTCTTTGACCTCCTTCCACCTCTCTTTTCTTCCCTGAACCCCTCCCTCCCACCTTCAGGACCACTTCTTGTTTGACAAGCCCGTCTCTCCGTTGTTGACATGTGCCTTTATGGCCAGAGACTGGCCAGACGCCAGGGGTATCTGGTAGGGTCCATTCAGCTCTCCTGCATGTCTGCTGTGTGACCATTTAGACTTCCAACCCTGATCAATGATAGAGTTAAAGTCCCCCTCCAGGCAGAAGTCTTCTTGTTCCCACAGTGTGTGTTTGAATGATGTCTGTGCAGTCTGACACTAGAAGGATGTTTTGGTTTTAGTTTGGATTCTGGTCCAGTATGAAACTTATACCAGTACACAAACACTGAGAATGGACTTTACAG